GAGCCACGTGTTGATTAGGTGTGCTAGTAGGGAGAATGCCTGATACTAATAGATCTCCTGTAAAAGGGCTGATTTTTTAGATTGGCTAGGTAGTAACTGCTAAAAAAAATAGAAGTACTTACTACCTTGACTAGGTAGTATACTTCTGTGTTCATGTGTGTATCCATGTTCAACAGGCATGTAAAGGCAAAACTTGGTGCTCCGGGTAATCCTGACTTTGGGTGGAAGGACTGGAAGATGGGGGTTGTCTGTCTAGCAAGTGAATTTTAATATTGCAGGATCAACCTTCTCACTCACTATGACCACTACTTTCCACCCCTAAATAGGCTGGGAAGAAGCTCCCATCCCAGATGAGCTTTACTATGATAGTACACGCATTTACCCTGTCTAGTTTTTCTGCTTGTCTGTCTACAGAATACATAGCTTTTGCTCTGTTTCAGCTGTTGTTAGATGCAGCAACTGTTGATCATTAATGTTAACATGTTACATCATTAACTATTACATTAACATGACTAAAACCAGAATTTCACCTATGAAACGAGTTTATTTTCTTGCTTTCAATTATCATACATCTTTCACAAATGCTCAATGCATGTAAAAGGAATATGTGTAAATTCATGTAAAAAGAAAAAAAAGATGTAGAATTAAATCTAAACTGAAAAAAAACCCTTTTATGAAGCATTAGCAGTTATCTTTTGAAAGGTGAAGTCTCTTCCCATGGTTCTTATTCTTGCAGAATGGAAAATGGAAGTAATATACAACAAAAATGTAATGTACAGTGCATTGGTTTGGGTCATCTGTTCAGAAAACACTATTGAACACTGCCCTGCAAGGTTTTCTCCTCTTTTTTAAAGCAAAGGAAGTCTGTGAAGAAGCTTAACTTCTTCATTAGCCCCTTAGCTTGCATGAGGAATATTGAGCAAATCTGAGCTGCTGCACATGCTCATCTGTTCTGATAAACAGTGTCATCTTCCAGGTCATCCTAGGGGGAAAATATACACATATTTCGTTACTGAGGTAAACTTTTTTATAAAGGCAGAATTTTCTTTTTGTGGCAAACTCCATCCCTTTACTGTTTCCATAAACTCCTTTCTTCCCATTTATCCAGTTGCATTTGTCCATGTGGCATCTACAGGATTCAAAACATTTTTTTTTTTTCTTGGCTTTTCCTAATCTTGAGAGAGCACAGAGGCAGAAACATACCCTTTATTTTCACTGTGTTCATTTCTGATGGTCAAGTGAAGGACCGGGTCATGTCAGCAGTGAGGTCTTTAAAGGGGTAATTACAGAGGAAAACAGTTGGGGCTGTATGGAAATAAATGAGGTAAAAGTGTATGGAAAAGTGTTGGACTTCGTTCTATGTTGCTTTTGGTTTCTCCTTGCATCTCTGAAATGGTGCAGTCCACGCTCCAAATAGGAAAGAGTTTACACTGTTTCTCAAGAGAAGCAGCATTTTGGAAGTAGGATTTGGAAGCCATTTTCTTTGCTTGCAAATACATGTGACTTCTAAAGTTGGTTTTTTGTAACTTACATGACATCTGCAAAATTATTGTTATGTGGGCGTGGAAGACCTATTGGCATAAATTTGGAATGACAAGATATGTTGTGTTGCTTTACCTAGTAATGCTGAATACCTAGCTTAGACTCGGTAAGTTGGAGGAGGGGGAAATACCTGTATTTATAACAGCTTTGTTATGTTTCTGTCACCTACCTACCTATGGGAGCAAGAGGAACTGCAATAGAAGCATTTTTCACAAATGAACTCCTAATAGCTCGGTGCGTTTTACCAAACAATCCAGAACTTCTTGTTAAGACCTCTTCTTGGCAAAATACAAAGCTATGGTTGCTTCATTTTTGAACGTACCTACCTACATTCTATAGGGTACAACCAATGGATGCAGTTGTACATGTATGGACACTTAGATGCTTTACAATGCCTTTGACCGCTGTGCAGAATACTTTTTTTAGACCTTTATCAATTTTAAAAAAGAAAAGTATTTTCAGAGAAAATCCCAATTGTCTCCTCTTAACAGCTGACAGTTCCTGTGCTTCCCCATAAATTGCAGTGTCGGTAGATAGATACTTACAGGCTGTTGGCAGTGTTCAGCATATCTCTGCTTCTGGAGTTCTTCGGCAATTGCTTGAAAAATTTTTCTTCCACTGCTGATTTTCTGCAAATTATTTGAGATACTTTAGGTCAGTGCTACAGTTGAAGTTGGGGGAAACATCTTTTTTTACCTTTTATAATTCCATTTTTGCCCTGCATGTATTTTTTTTGAAAGTTACTGAATAACACTTCAAGAACATACGGTTTGGGAGGCAGAATGGTTGTATATTATATCAATACTGCATCTCTTAACATCTGTCTATACCTTCTTTAACAGATATTTGAATGTATGGCTTCTGATTTTTATTCAAGGATACATGGTGATAGAGGTTCTTAATAGACTTGTTTTAAATACATTAGGGTTTCCCTGAATGCACCACTTAACCAGTTTTGCTATTCATTTTTTGTTTGTTTATTTTCACAATAAAATTTACTTAAAACCTAAAGGAAGCTGTGTATTAGCGATTGCCTTTACATGGATTGACGTAATCCTGTATCCAATTCATTAAATAAACTGATTAGTTAAATGTAAAATCATTTACTAGTTTTGTGCAAATCTGAAGTCAACCCTTGACAGCTCTGAATATCTTTAACTGAATCATGAATTCATCACAGAATTGATGCCCAATATTCTTAAAAATAGATGGGGCAAGGGGAAAGAGAAGCTCTGAATCACAGAACAAAGTGATAACATACACAGTTCTCTGTTCCTTGGTATTCATTCCCACTTTTCTTCAGCAGCTTTGGTTTTAACTGGAGGGAGGGATAATAAAATAAGAAACGATTAAAACAAAAACACAGGGTGAGAAGCCAAGTGCTGAAGTAAGCAGAATAGTTAAAAGCATTGTCCTTTCACAGCATCAAACCATTTGTAGATAAAAGTCATTCAGTAGGTCAGCTTGGAAAAATCAGAGGAGTTTTTAGGTGTGTAAGGTCTTTCTCAGCTTCTGGTAGTAGATGTTGCAAGTAATTTTGTTTTGAGTACAGTGGGACCTGGCTGAAGCACTACCCAAGTCTCAAAAGTAAACCAGTGTTATCACGGATATTAAGTTTTTCCCCTGAAGAAGACTTGATTAATTTTTCCCACTAAACTAATTCACCTAGTTTAAGGAAACACAAAAATCCAGGGGGCTGTTCTGTCTTTATGCCTAGACAGTGACCACTACAGTGAAGAACCATTTTGCCAGATCATACCACTTCGTACTGTGAACTCCTCATTCTAAAGTCAAAGTCTCATTATTATGTAAAGATTCCAGTTGTAGCTTTGGGTTTGTGGGTTTTGTTTTGGGGTTTTGGGGGCTTGTTTGTTTGTTACTAAACACAAATTTTGTTCTAGATTTAAAAAACCCAAACCAGTAGTTATGTAATTTTTAACCAGGTGCATTCTAATGTGGTTGTTTCCTATAAGCATAAAACCTTTCCTAGGTCTTTGATGTTTTTAAATTTTACCAAGGTCTCTGTTCCGTAAATGTACGATGTATGAATAGAATTTCATTACACGAGGAAAGGCTGCAGTAACTTTATTGCAGCTCACAAATACTTTGACTTTAAATTATGTTACACTTACTGGAAACTAATCCAGAGAGTTGATGATTTATGATGGTAATTTCTAGCTTTGCTTTTTGAGTGTGCCTGGATAAACTCCAGCTTGCTGGTCAATACTCTCAGGATAATTTTAACTGAGAATACCCTTTTACCTAGACACTGTACTGAAAAAGTAAATGTGGCTGCTGTTGAGAGTACGGGTATGTGCCACATGAGGTTGCATTTCTGTGCAGCATATGAACTTCAACCAGCCACCTCTTTAAAACTTAATCATAGAAGTTATGGATTCTAGGAGTGTCTTTTTATTCACCTTACGGAGATGTTAAAACTTTTTAGACTTACAAAATTAACAAAATCAGAAAACCCACTTTGAGCCTACCTTGTAGCCTACAAAGAATGTGAATACAGCAGTGCTGTATAGAAACAGTAAGGATGAGGTGATGATCATGATGATGAAGATGAGTTTTCCATTTCTGTGCTGCTTCTCTGCTCCTTTGTTAAAAGTGAATGTTAGAATAAAGGACAGTTCTTCTGATTCACATGATTTTCTTAAGATACTGCATTTCAGCCCTCTTCCTCTGAGGAATTAAAAATCCCCTATAGCCTTCAATATTTTTTATTCATTTTCAGTCTAAATTCCTTAATGAAATCACTTTTGTTTCTCTGAATGTTTGCAAGGGCAATGGAGACTTTTGATTTTTTTATTATGAACCCTTCCTTTAGGGGTAGGCAGAATAGAATCCAGTCTATTGCTCACTTCAAGGAATATCTGAATAAAGCTGAAAGGCTTTTGTTCAGAGATGAAGTTAGGTAGAGGAAGGAAGGAATATAGGGGAAGTAAAAATCCAGCTAGTTGTTTGTGGGTTTTTTTTTTATTTTAGGCATGTGGAACTGAAGTAGCTAATGAAGTCTCATCACTTTCTTAACTAGGATGCAAATGATACAAAGGTTCAGAACCTAGAACTTTTTTCTCAAGTTGGCACAGTGAGACCCCAGTTCTGAGACCCTGTACTCTGCTGCATGTATTTCCACTAAATACCAGTTTCTCTACTTCTCATTTTTCTGTTGCTACTTCCTTTCTGGTAGCCATTAAAGTCTTTACGTAAGAGGATGTAGAGTATGGTTAGATAACACAAATAGAAAACTTCTTTATTTTGTAGAATTCTAGAATCATTTGCATCATATGACAGCAGTCTAATTAGCAAAAGGTTTAGGCTTATTTGTAGAATCTCTCTATGATTTTTCTATTAGTATTCTAATATAGTTGTACTACTCCTAACAGTTTTGTTGGTATTTCCATCTTAAATGCCATTCTTGAAAATGTAAACAAAGAGAGCATTTAGGAAAGATAACCTATTTCTTTTAAGATGCTTCATTAAGAAGGAATGATCAACTGACCTGTTTTTGTTAGTACTGTTCCATTTCCTGTTTGTTTAGAACGGGGTGAACTTGAATCTGAATATGCTATTCCACAGATATAAACAGCATTGTCACCTACAGTCAGATCATTGATCTGAAGTGAAATGTTATTTTCTGAGAAACTGAGTTTGTACTTCTGTTCGTCTTTGCATTTGAGAGTACACAAATCCTCATGTTCATTAGTTAAAAAGCGAAACCATAGAACTTGAGGGGGGGACGGGGGGCATCCAGAGGCAGAGAAAGCACACGTTAGGGAGACAGTGTTCACGGAGTAGTCAGCTTCCTGAAATCTGGGTTGTGTTACAGTGACTTGGCAGATATCTGCAGAACCTGTTAAGAATAGAACAGTTGGTAATGTGAGGGACAGATAAAAAGCAAGACATAATCTGAGAAGAAAACGAGCTACTTTTGGTTCATTTGAGAAAAGGTTGAAGGAAAGGAGGAAAACCAACTGACTTGAAATTTTTAAGGTGGTTTTCAGCAACCTTTTCTTTTAGATAATTCCTACGGCTTGCCTATGTGTTCATTGAACTGGTTTGCCTGTGTGGTACTGTGCTCAGCTTCCAGTATTTCTGAAAGAGAGTAGAGAAGATTCATATACCTAAAGTAATGTGAATGTCTCCTTGGGCCCTGGGGAAGACCAAAAGAACACTTTGTGTAGTTTCCTGCCTCGGATTTAGCCCTGAGTGTTTTGAGGATTTGGGGGGGTAACAGGTGTTGTGTGACATAATTCTAGATGCTTAGTGGTGTCATCCTGCAAGAGTTTCTCTCCTCCACTGTTCCTGATCCGAATCAAGTGGGCAGGCAGTGGAAATGTCATAAATGGAGACATTTATAATTTAGCAATTTCATAACATTGATTGGAATTCGTAATAGTTCCTAGAAATTCTCCCACTTCATCACATATATTGACTCTGGGTTTCTAAGGATAATAATATTGCTTGTTAGTTCTGACATTTAAAAATATGTGCGGAGAAAACAGGAAGGTTAATCAGAGAACAGAATTCTAATTAAGGAACTGAAATGTAAGGTTTAATATGACTGGTCTGGGAGACATTTTAAGTCCTTATTGAAATCCATAATTTAAATACTATTTCAGTATACTTAATTTTATTCAAATAAATTGTGCAGTTATTTAAACATTGGAATTGAGATTATTGCAGTGAAAGTGAAGATAGCAGCTTAACAGCATCCTTTTCTATTACCTAGAAAGTAACAAATGAGAAAAATTCAAATCTCTTAATCTACACAAATTATAAGCCTGTCCACAGTGGACAATCAGCGTTGTCCCTCATCATTTTTCTCACTGGGTGTTTTATGGACAAAATCCTTATGGGCCAAAGCAGATTCAGTGCTTGTGACTTCTACAGGAATAAAATGAAACTCTGCTTCTGTGTCAGATAACATCAGAACCATTCCATAGCAGCTACAGCAGTCTGAAGATTGTAGTAATAGAAGTTGAGGCTTGTGCTTCTGCAGTTGATCCCCCTTTCTTTGCCACCTTACTCTAGGGCTCTGGGTGGCCTTGCAGAGCAGAACTCCATGGTTTCAGTTCATGTAGATATTGTCTGCTGAACTTCCCAAACCCTCCTCCCAAACAAGCACAGCTGCACTGAAACCATGCTCCTGCTGCTGGAGCATTCGCTGTGGGAAGTGCCGTAGGATTTGACCCAGAAATCATAGATTACAGGAGCATTTTTAAGTTTTGGAAGAAAAAGCATTTGTTAACAGTTGTTTAATTTGGAAGCTGTATGGAAGACAGCAGAAATTAGCTTGATTCTCAGCAAAACGTTTTACTGCTCTTATTTTGTAGCTGTGTTGCAAATCATAACCACAATGTTTTCAATCTTGTTTAACGGCTATTACATGAGAAAATCTAAGAAGCTTAAAAAAGTCTTACCAGCACTGTACAGAATCCAGTCAAATGCCAGCATTAGCACGTTTTTTAATTTGTTGAAAGTTGCCATTTCTTGTATCTCTCTGGAAATGATTCTGCTTGAAGGAAGAGGAACTTAAGAAACCTTTGGAGTTGCAGAATGCTCTGAATCACAAGATTTAGAACTTCCTGTTTAGAAGGGTGTTTACTATTGCATTTAGCAAACTGGTTAAAGGTACAGACCATACCAGAAAACATTTGTTGTTTGTGGATGACATAACTTGGAAAATGAGTGAAGAGTTTTAAATTTTGAAATTCTGAGTGTTGTACCTATAATCCTTCAGATTAGTTTCATTGGATATAACAAATGACAACACGTTTTCTAGCATGCTTCTTAATTTTATATGACCCTAAGCAGTCTTTTCCATATGAGCTGGTAGGTGGCCACTGGAGATTCTATAGCCACCCATTATAATGTTGTGCTGGTTTTAGTCGGGACAGAGTTAATTATCTTCACAGTAGCTGGTATGAAGCTCTGTTTCGGATTTGCCCCAAGAATAGTACTGATGTGCTTTTCAGTTGGTGCTAAGGAGTGCTTGCATTCATTCAAGGACTTTTTCAGCTTCTCATACTTCAGCTGTGTTCCCAACTTGCTCATTGTAAGCGGGGTGGGACACACAGTTCAGGCAGCTGACCCAAACTGACCAGAGGAATATTTCATTCCATAGCACGTCATGCTCAGTACATAAGCTGGGAGTGGGACGGGGGGCCATAGCTCAATTCTGTGCTAGCTTGTTCTCTCAAGCTACAGCTTGCTTGTTCACGTAGCTAGCTTGCTTGTCAGCTTGCTCGCTCATTTGTTTTGTTCATTAGCTCATTAGTTCGTTAGTGAGTTGATGGGTTGGTTGACTTTCCTGGTCATGCTGTCACTTGTGGGGCTCGCTTGCACTCTGCTGCGAGTGCTCTCGGGCTCTCTGACTCTGACTCTCACTACTCAGGACCTGGCTGTGTATCGGTTGGTGGGTGGTAAGCAGTTGTATAATTTGTTTTATTTTCATTATATGTTATTAGTATTATTGTCACTATTATTAATATCACTATAATATTCTTTTATATTCAATTATTAAATAGTTCTTATTTGAATCCACGAGCTTCCTTGTCTCTTACTCCGATTCTCCTCCTCCACTGGAAGAGAGGGGGAGGTGAGTAAGTGGCTGCGTGATGCTTAATTGCTGGCTAGAATTACACCACCACCAGTCCTTTTTGGCACCCAGGGTGGGGCAAGGGTTGAGGTAAGGACAGATCTGGTGGTAGTCTCCTGATTGGAAGCTTCCTGGCAAGTCCTAATTTTCAATCTGCTGGCTCTGTTTCCTGTAATTACCTGAAGCCATCTTTGGCCAGAGAGTGGGCGTAATGCAAGAAAGAATTTTGTAATGCTGGAAAAGATCTTCATTAAGTAGTCTGTCTGTCCGTGTCTGCTGAACACCAGCCTCACCAGTGGAAGTTCCTTTGGAATTGCTAGTTAAAAATGTAACCAGAGATAACCTTAAGAAGGAGCTGCTTCTGAGCAGGATGCAAGAACTTGAACTCATCTTGAAACAGCTCTACAAATGGCTTGTCAACCTCCTGTGGGGAATGAAATGGAATATAATTGGTGTAATGTGCTTTCTGTAAGAAAATACAACACACAGTAAGATCTTCTTTATAATTTAAACAAAATTGTTTTGTTTTCTCAGTAGGTGGCAAGTGGGAAAAGCCCTCAGAAGTTTTGGAAATCAAAGGGCACACTTGGGAAGAACAGGTGAATAGCCTGCCAGAAGTTTTTGGTAAAGCTGGTTTTGCCATAGAGGCTTTCACCAGACTGCCGTACCTATGTGAAGGTGACATGTACAATGACTACTATGTACTAGATGATGCTGTCTTTGTCCTCAAGCCAGTGTAAGCGTGTATGAAGTAAACCTCCAGAACCTAACCCAAGAAGCAGCCTCTGAAAGAGGGCTTTGTGGGGATTGCTGTGCTAAATAAATACCATGTAAGAAATTTAAAGGCCAAAATACTAATGTATTTCTTTGTAGTGTGATTAGGAAAAAAAGGTTGTTTTTTAAACAGACTCTTCAGTTGGGAATTTCTTTTTTTACCAGCTCTTAGACCAACAATGCATTCTGCGGTCCAGCAGTAATGGGAGATATTTTTTTATACTTACCTGCAACAGGGATCAGATCCAAACAAAAGCAATAGTCCTAATAATGACGAAACCGATACAATGTGAACTGTTGTTAAAGAAATCAAGTGAAATCTGGCAATAAAGTTATCCATTCAGTTCAAGCCTTGTTGAATATAAACTGTTGAAATGGATATTATTCCATGCCAAGTTACTTTCTCTCTTACTGTCATTCTTCACATGTTTTTAATCATGCTAATAAACTTTTTTTGAGATGACTTTTTGCATTAACTTTTGTGTTCATTTTTGCAACCATAGCCACGCTTGTCTGCAGCAGCTGCTCTTTGTGTTGAGAATCAAGCTCTCAGTAGCAGCACAACCTTGCATTTATTTATACAACATTTACATATTGCTTAAAGGGATAACAGTCCACAAAAAAACTGTATCACTTTTGGTTGGGTTTCCTTTATGTTCCTCTCAAAGCCTCATAAATCCTCATTGCTTATGCCATTTTCCAGCTGAAGGGGTTATGGTAGAACTTGCCAAAACTGTACTTTAAACTGATGGGTTTAATAACAGACTTTCTAAGCAATTTGTTCCCCAAAGTTTTCATCTTAAAAAACTCAGAGGCAGTTTCTTGCAAATTCTGTGAGTCAAACTGTCTCTGAGGATCAGGCTATAGGGACCTGATTTTGAGGGTTTTGCTAGCTTGGGCCATTTTCCTTCCTTCATGGACGATAAGTAAATGCTATTTATTTTAACATGTTTTGTTTTAAAACTGTTTAAAATGGGTAATTTTTGGCAGTTGGGGTATAACCTTGCCTTAAAACAAGCAGCGGTATCGTAAGTAGTACAGAACTGGCAGGCCTTGCTTGGGATGTTGTGACGATGATGATGTGATGTTGTGAGAGCAGAGAAATCTCAGCTGGTAAGTAAAGTCAGAACTGTCTCACCTTTTGGTTTTGAAGTCTAAAGAAGTTGTGCATTGTGGTTTTTGGTGATTGGGGATCTTATGCCAGGCAGGATGCTTCAGCATGTCCTTTTAGGTTTACCTTGGACTTCCTTTGCCTGATGGTTAGTTTCTTGTGCAAATTTAATAGCCTTTCATTCTCAGTCACCTCTGTGTAATAATAAGTATTCTGTAGTATGGGGCAGGGGTTTGACTGGTGAGTTTTTTCAACCATAATTCAGGCTCAGTATTATTCTTGTTCCAGCATGTGGTGGTGTATTTTGGCACAGAGTACAATCAGATTTGTCTGTTGGAAAAATGAGCTATGGATGCTTTAATTTTTCTTTTGTTACTTTCATTTGTACTCATCGAGTAGTGGGAAACTGAATTTCTTAATGTCTAATGATTTTAGTCTCATGTAGCAAATATGTATTAAGAGAAAATTCTTCAAATGTACTTAAGTGTTTTAATCCCACAAGTTAAAAATCACATGAGAAACTCTGCATTTCACATCTCATGTCTTTCAGTTCTGTCACTGAGGACTTTGGTTTGTAATAGCTTTGAGAGGTTTGGGGACAGGAGGTGCTGTGTAAATAATAGGGTGTTTTTCCTGATGACCTCCGATTTTGTTCCCTCAGTTTAAACAAGTATTCTTACGCTTGAGATGGGGAGTTAGAACGCTTATTAAAACACGACCAGTGACGGGAAAGCTATGAACTGAGTAAGCTTAAATCTAACAGGGTCAAAAACCTCCTTAGTCCTGGTGAATGTATGGAGTAGGCCTGAGGGACTGTACCTACACCTGTACTCCTAAAATCAGAGTTCCTGGTGAAGGAAGGGGTGCAGTGTGGCTCATTGCGTTAGGGAAGGGACTTCTTTCCAGACCTTGAGAGTGCATTTCTGTGCATTTGTGTGCAGTTCATACCCGCTCACACAGCCCGTGCAGAGAAACTCCCAAGTCCCGTAGCTGACTGCATTCCCTGAAATACTCTAAGGTGTCACCCAAGGGGACAAGTGTTCGGTGCGAGTCCGGTGCCCAGATTTATCGCTCCCGGGCTGGGGGAACCTGCCTGGTCCCTCTGCTGTCCCTGTCCTGCTGTGGGTGGTGGTGTGCAAGTTGCACTTCAGTGCTCCCGCTATGTGCAGTGTTGTGCCCTGGAGAGTGACTGAACTATCCCTTCTGTCAGGGTGGCACTGGATCCGTTGTGTCGCAGCAGCAAGATGCTGTGCAAGGGCATGGTTTAGTTGGAAACTTTTGACGCGAAGTTGGGACGACTTCATCTCACAGAAACCACAGCCCCCTTCTGCTGGGTGATCCCAGGTGCAGTCACTTCGTATTCTGCTCTGAGGAGCCCAGGGCCACCTGCCCGTGCCTGGGATGGGGAGCTGGGGAAACAGGGTGCTGGGCAGCACCGGCCTGGCCCTGTGCGCTTCCCCCACGCAGCTCGCGGAGCTCTCTTCATGTCGGGAGGGAAAGCATCCTCTTCTATCTGCTGTGGGAGTCCCTCACCCTCGGAGCCCCAGCAAAGACTTTTCCCCTCCCCTCTGGCTGAAGGCTGGGTGCTCTGGGCGGTGCTGGCCCCTGTCCCTGCCCCCTGCTCTCGGGGTCCCTGGCTGGAGCCGCCCAGCTCATTGCACTGCGAGTGTGGGGAAGGAGGCGCAACAGCAGAGGCAGGTAAAGTGCTGTGGGGTCCTGGCTCTCCCCCAGAACCCACGCTCTCTTCTCTTCTCCCCTTACTTCCCCCCTGCTTCTTTGCCAGCCTGAACCCCTTGAGGGTTCCCTCACTGCATATAGGGATTTTTTTCAGAGGTGCTGAGAGCCTGGCTGCAAGAGGGAGGACAGGCACTGGCCATGCAAGGGCTTATCAGCAAGAATTCTGATTATGAGGTTAGCTTTCTGGTTATCAAGCTTCAGGTAAGGCAGCGAGTGATAAAATGTCTAGGATTTCTTTATGTAGAAAAGTGGCTGTTGAGGGAGCAAGAGGAGAAGGCAGTCTGGGAGGTCCTCATAACTGGAGAGTCCTGCAAGAGTGACGTCTCTGAGATCTGACCACACCATATGCCGCCGTGGTGTAAGGAATGTGGGGAAATGCTGCATGGCATCTGCAAGAGATTCCCTAAAGGCTGATTTGGGATTGTCTAAAAGCTGCGGTGAACTTCTGAAAACAGGCTAGTTTCACTGACAAAAGGAACTGTTTAATCCCACAGGTTGTCTTACCTATTTCACAGAAGATTTTTTCTGCACCTGCTGATGGTCCACTGGATTTAGTCAGGATAAAAAGCACTTTCCTTAACGTTTAGCCTCCTTATATGTTAATTTAGCATGTTTTAATTAAAATACACTCCCTCATCGAAGTGAATGAGTTGGAATAAATATATCCGGGTTGACGCTGGTAGCTTGGTTTAAACTCTGCAGAGTAATTAAACCTTACTGCAAAATTAATGGGGAAAGGCAGAAACAAACACAAGGAAGTTCATTGTCTAGGAAACCAGATCCATCTGAATGAGAGACGGGTACTGGCACTCTCAAAAGAATAGCTGAAAAGGGTTTCGGTGTGTGCAAGAACAGGACAGAGGCAGTAACTTGTTGAAGTCTAATGTTTAAATTTTTCATCATCAGTTTAACTCATCTTGTAACAGGAGTGACTTAAGCGCTTGTGATAGACTGAAGTATTGCTAGAGGCTGTTGGAAGACGTTTTGCTAGGAGTACCTGGCTGATACATGAGATTAAACATTTGGAAAAAGGCCTTTGTATTTATCAAATGTTCAGATCTGTAACTCAAGCCCTGGCAGAGAACTTTAAGGGGAAAAAAAAAAAGGATCCGAATTCAGCAACAAAAAGAAATGGAGAAATTAAATGTGGCTGCAGGTAAACCCTTGAAATGAAGGAAAGGGAGAGAAAACCTAACAAAGTCATCGCAGGGTCAGAGTGAAGTTGGCCAACGGAGCTCTCCATGATGTCATCTGTTAAAATCAGGGACTAATCGCAGTGTAAGAAGCTGCAGTCCGTAGAGCAGGGCATCACGTATGTCTGTTACACCTGTGGGGTGGTGACTCTCATGGCTGGGCAGAGGGCCAGGCTGAGGGGGCAGAGGCAGAAGATCCTCCCTGCATAAACTTGGTGCAACATGGGTTAAAGCAACTTGCGGTCCTCAGCGCGGCAGGGCTGCAGGAGATGGCTGCAGGAACACCCGTGAGTGAGACCCGCTCAGTCTCTAATTCCTGTCCCTCCCATTGCGTTATTGCACCGTGTGTCCTTGTCCTTGGGTACTAGACGAAAAGCCCCAAACTCATTTCATGTGGGACAGCTGTGAGACTGTCAGTCTTTCTGATGAGAACCGGTGACACCCTGGTGAAAAGCTCCGGGTATCCCGTTACTGCCCTTCAGCTGATTTACCTTTCACTGGTCTTTATGCTGCAGAGTGCAGGGCAGCAGGCATAGCAAGAGCTACTAAAACATATAGTTCCATAGAAACTATATCCAGCTGATGGTGAAAAAACAGATGGCACACTTCTTGTGAGACTAGAGCTTTGCTCTCTCCAAATGAAGTGTCATGGTGTTGAACGCCATTGCCCAAATGTGTTGCTTTTGCTCTGCTTCAGAAGGGCATAAGGACGTTTTCCCCTCTCTGCAGTGTCAGCAGGGGAGGGTGCACTCCTTCACCTTGCCTGCCAGGAGCACCCTGCACTGATGGGGCAAGCAAGAGAGCCAGGCCCTCCCACCATCAAGTTCAGAGATCTCCAAGTGGGTGATCCCAGACGGAGCTTGCAGTAATTGTGCAGGCAACTTAACAAGCTAAAAAAACTTTAGGTTTTGTTTGGAGCTTCTTTACTATTTCCTTTTTCTCCCCCTCTATTTTTTTTCTGTTTTATCTGAGTTTAAAATGAAATTTTTTTTGCTTTAACAAAACTGCATTTAAGTCATACTTAGGTGGAACGTGGCTTAGTAAATAAATGGGGCTGCAAGGAAGAAAATTGGCAGAGCTTCTTGGTGAAAGGGAAATAAATGTGACTGCACATAAACATTTGGTGGACTTGTATTTGCATAAAATATATCTACCCTGGAAAAAGATCTGAATTAAGAACTTGGGAGCAAGCCCTTTTAGATCATTCTTCTGCTCTGCAGCTTGGGCTGTCTCGGATCTATAGCTATGAAAGTTTTAGGTGAATACCGCCTTTTGACTCTGTTCTTCTTATTTTCCCTTTCAATCCAAATACCTTCTGGTTCTAATAAACACTAGAAGAAATGTTCAGACTTTTGAAGATATGTTTCTTATTGATATCAGTGCATCATGCTGAGATTACACACAGCCAGAACTCTGAAGGTAAGACCAGAACCCCTGTATGAGGGATGTAGTCTGTGTGGATGGAAAAATCTATGTATGTGTGGTAAAACGGGTGCGGTACTGTTTAGTAATGAGGACCATATTCTCTGCTCTCTTGACTTCACAGAGCTGTGCCAGCAAAGAAGTTGTCCAAGATTGCTTATTATTTAATAGCCTTTTATTTTCACTGTTTTTCTGTAAAAACGTTTAACCAAAACGGCATTAAATTCTTATAAATAAATAAATTATATGTGTATATATAGTTTCTGTGCATAGAATACATGTATTTTTGTATAATACAGTTCAATGATGAAACATTAAATTAACTTTTAGTAATGGGATAATCTTTTACAGATTTGCCTCCGTTGTTACACAAAGCTGTGGTTAGTATTTTTATTTGATCTCTCTACTAACATTTTATATTCTAATCTAAAAATAATAAATTATTACATATACTTATCGTTTTTCCTTAGGAGGAAGTAATAACTGGGAAATATCTGAATGGTAATGTACAACACTGTTCCCACTTCTGCTTCCAAACGGAATTAAAACTCAGTATCTCACCATAGCTTTTTATGTTCCATTTTTCATGTGTAGCCCTCCTTGATATACTTCATTTCCAGAGGTAATGTATTACTCTCACCATCTGATTTTCGGTATTATCTTGCACTTCAGATACGATCTGCTTTATTTCCACAGAAACTGGAACATGATGGATAGAATGAAATTGGCACATATGATTACTTTGATTTAGATCTCCTGTGAGGAGTATTTCCTCTTAAGGAAAAAGATAGTTTTCGTGTTAAAGCAAAAAATATGCATAGAATGAAGCTGAGAATAAACCTCCACTACAGTTTTCAAAAGTTCTGATAATTAATTAACTTTGTTCATATGTTTGAGAATGTCGTCTTAAGGAAATTAGTTGCAGTTCCAGCTTTTGTCCATCTTCCTCTTTCAGTAGTGCTCCCTCCCCCATCCATCACACTTCCTCCATCTCCTGGTGACTTTCGAATTATTTGCTAATTTTGTCTAAATTTGAAAGAGCAATATAAGCCTCAAAGGCAGTTATACTCCACACATTTTGAGAAGAATCAATGACTGTGTGAAGAAGACACACTGAAATTAATGACTCTGCTGAGGGAAAGGCAGCAGCCATCAGTCACTGTACTTCCTTTCTACAAGCAGATCAGAGCAGGCATAATGGGATGCCAGGAAGCTCACCTATAGCTCTGGACCAGCCACTGCACACATTATGTCATGCCCAGAGGTGGTACTAATGGCGGCATCTTGAAAATTTGGGATTATTGTGGGTGGTTGTGGGGTTAGATTAAAAAATCCGTTCTGTTCCACATTGAAACTCATGCTTTTCTTGCATTAAATAGGTCAGCTTTTAGTCACGTTAGGCCAAAAAGTTGAATACTCATGTCATTATGGTGTTAGTAACAGTGTTTGCTTTTCTTACTCTTGTTTGGTCTTGTAAATCTGCTGTCTTACATGTTACATTATTTTACTGGCATTTTTGGTCCTGTTTTCTGTTACAGTTCTAATGGCTGGACTGCAGATATTCTTACAAAAGTCATGGCGTATTTTCATGCCAAGGAAGTTATGTTTACTCTTAGCAGCCTACAGGTTTGTGCCATTTAATATACATGAAAATTCTTACTTGAAAAGGAATGAAAAAAAGCAGCCTATCTCTGTAGCCACAACTAGGTTGTCGATAATAGAGATAACTAACAGATCTACAGCGTGGCAGGTAAGTAGGAAATAGCAATAGTTTTTTTGATTTGTCCTTTTCCCTTAAGACTGCAGCAGAATACAAGGCAGAAATAATAAGAAAGATCTTCTTGCTTCTCTTCTGATGGAAAGCAGGATTTAGGAGTTTTCAGGCTTAGCGACTGTTTCGGAATTGAGTGCATACACATCTGTATGTGTATGTCTCCTCAAAATGGCAGGTTTCTCCCAGATTTTGACCATGGCTGTAGTTTGCACTGCTGCTGGTAGAATGAGAGGCTCCAGAGCATCCTACAAAAATTCCTCTGAACTCTGTTTTTGTAAATTGTCAGTGTGGAAGTGACATAGGAAAATTGTTCTTTACCCCCAGTCATTACGATGAGTTACGAGCTAGTTTAAGTGGAGCTGGAGCCTGCTAATCAAAACCTGACCCCCTCCATCCTCCCTACACACACTCTGAGAAAGTGTCAAATGTGCCATCTGTGAGCCTCAGGCATTCCCAAAAGCCTACAGCCATGCAGCTCCACAGCCTTCAAACCTTCTCCCAAGCTGCATTTCACCATCACAGCTCACCTAAGCCTCCACAAGACTAACGCTGCCTCTTCCCATTTGATTTATTAACACTTGAACTCATTTATTTGATTTATTATTCAGATTTATTAACAGTTTAGGGGTGTAATCATGCCTGGACCCCCTAGACAACAAGGACTAACTATGTTAATACTTGTTTGTGGCAATGCAGGCTAAGCAACGACAACAAAGAACAGTTTCAACTCGAATTCCAAATCAATTCTGAAATAATTCTGTCAGGAATGAGAAGGGGTTTTACTCCAGTCTGGTGCTAATGAGCCTTACAGTGCTTTCTGTTCCAGTGTTACAATTCCCCTTAGATTTTCAAAACAGGCACAAGATTGTTAACTGGTAACGCAGTTTGATGTGCGTGAGAATATTTTTGCCTTATGACTAGGCACAGACTTTTCCTCCCATCTAATTGCACATTTCCTTCCTTTTGCTAAGTAATAATAAAACGTATGTGGTACCCAATCTTTCTGAGCTCTTGAAAAGGTTCATTTTCACAGCTCTGCTCTGTGAAGCAGAAAAGTGTTATTGTTCTTGTTTATTTAGTGAGAAATGGAGGCGGTTTTGTTAAATGGCTCACTGGAGAGGAGTCTCTCATGAAGACAAGAATAGGATTTTAAAAGTGTTGTCTTTCAGAATTACATTTAGATTATTTTTGTTTACAGTTTGTGTTGGGTACAATTATTCTAGTTCTTGACAAAACAGAGAATACAGGAGGTAAGCACTTAACTCTCCTTAAGAGGAGACTTTCAGGGAGTAAAAGATGTCCTCCAATATTATGAGTTTTATGTATATTACACATATTTTTCTCTACTGCAGATGTCAATAAAAGGTTACCTGAAGAACCTTTTACGCCAGCCTAGGCAACTACTCTTTGAATTTCAACAGCTTGATCAGCAGCAGTTCCAAACTGCAATGAAGTATCTCTTCAACAGCAGAAAGAACCATCTTGTAAGTCACTTTGCACTTGTGAAAAATAAAAGCAGCTGTCAGTGGTTTAGACAGAGGGGAAAGGACCAGTCTGGGGGTCTCGCCGCGCATGCCATGCAGTTGCTTATCTGGCTTGAATTAGATTCCAGGAGACCCTCTCCTTAGGTTGGGCTTATTTAATTTACCTCTTGTTGTCTGAAAGTTTGGTGATAAGTCAGTCATCTGGATTGTCTCTGTAATCAGTGGCGAGAAAGACATCTCCAGAGGATGATTCACCTTCCTACGCAAGTATCAAAGATAGGTAGGACCAGTTGCTCTTAGGGAGCATCTGCTTCTCTTCAGTGGCTAGAAAGAGCCAAGATGACAAAAGAAGGTGAAATTAGTTACCTTGTTAATTAGTTATGGGAGCGTCCAAGCAAAATCTTAGGCAGTTTGGAGGGGAGGCAGCATAGAATTATTTGCTTGCCTCTGTGGTGTGTTCCCTGTGTGACCCATCTGCAAAGCCTCACTCAGAGTCAGTGAGTGCCACCCACAGTGGTTGTCCCCTGCAGAGTCATAGCCTGATGTATGAGAGCACTTGGCATCTTCCCTGCAGGGAGTAGGAGATTAATCTGGGAGAAAGGGAGAGCATTTCCCCTGGCGCAGGAGGTGTGACTGCCCAGAACAAGCACTGTATAATCTACTATTAAAACATCAGCGATGCAGCTCCTGCTGCCAAAGCACACAGGATAGGTGTGCAGCATGCACTGGGAGCCAGAGTAGCAGAGCGTAAGCCCTTTCACTAAACTGTAAATTTTTTCTTCTCAAACGGCATACCCAGTTCTTCCAGTATGGGTGATATTGCATGAACGATCACCAGGCCCGGGACTATCAGCCCTGAACAGGCTGTCCTAGATACACTGATTTGTGAGATGCAGCAACCTAATAATCCACCCCCAGCCAGGGTGACTTTATTCCCTGGGCTTTGTTCTTTGATGTTGCCCCATCTTCTGGAGATGTTTGTAGTAACAGCTGCCAGAAGTACTGCATGGGAAAAGGTCTGTTCTAGAGATGTCTGTGAATTAAATGATATATGAAATAATACCTATTCAATTGTGATATCCTTTCACTTTCCAAGTAACTAGTTCGTTCATGAGAGCACACATTATACCTTCAGCCATTTGGATTATTTTTCTGGTCTATGTTCTCGTTTTGTCAAAAGATTCAAGATGATCACTGGCTGATGCCAGAAAGAAATTACCTGAAGAAATGCAACCACATAGTATTTCGCACCATATTGCACGCGTAGTGCTTTCTGTCAGGCCTCAAAATGAGCAACATATTGGATTAATCAAGGAGACGTTCTTTTAACCCCTTATTGCTTGCAGGAAATGGGAAATATTACCCTTGATTGGGACAAGACCAGAGAGAGACTTTTTCAAAGCCCAGGAGTAAACAGGACCTTGTTCCTTGTAACGCTGGATAAATGCTTTCTGGCTCTGAGTGCTTTGGACTGTGTGGATATCCTAAGCCAGATTTTGCGTGTGTCAGCGGTGAACTATCTCCAACCTGAGGTCGTTGGGAACCTCCCGAATGTCCTGCAGGAGGATGCTTTCAGAAACTTGTAAGCCTTTTATGTTCCAGACACAGTTAATACAATGTAACATTTGCTGGCTATATAGACTGAAACCATATAGTAACTTCTTTTTTAGAAAGTATGTTTTCCAGATACAGCTTTCTGCTTCTGTGGTGTTGTTTCTAAAAACACATGTCCCTGTGTGTCATTTAAGAAAAATAGTTAACTCATTAGAGAACTGACATGCCCTTGTATCACTCAGATCAACAGTATTCAAGGACCTCTATGACAAGACCTCTGCAAATACACGGAGAGCTCTGTATGGCTGGATGAAGCAGATTCTACAGAAGTCCTGTAACATGAGTGGTATGTTATATACAAAGTATTTTCTCCTTGCTTATCATAAGAGAAAAACCATCAGCAAAAGGCCTATCCATTGTATTGAATTGTTGCACAGCTTCAACACAGGTCTGCTTAGGAGTAGCTGTCTTGAATACCTTTGCTCCAGAATACAGTAAACATATTTGTTATTCATGGAAAACAGTTCTCCAACAGTTTGTCACCTCTTTTGCACAGAGCTGTACACACAGTCTTTGTACTCAAGCCCTTTTTCTAAGACTTGAATAGGATGCAATTGGCAGGTGCGCTGCGCAGATGTGCTGTTCACTTCTAAACTCCTTTTCAGGCTAGAAAAACAGATGTGTCTCAGAATATATTAGCCAATGCACTGTTTAAAAATACAGAAGATAGGCAGCATGTTCTGAAAGTTCTACTGCTCATGGCACTGCCTTGTTCAAAAAAAGGACGAGATAAAGACCAAGTTAGTTACTTCTGATTTTATGCATTTTACCACATCTGTTTCCCATGTTAATAAGTCTTTAACAGACGTGCTACAGCTGGGGCAGTGTGGAACAGGCTCCGCGAGGGGCTGTAAAGTGGCAGCGGCTCTGACGCATCAGAGCCAGCTCTTGGGTTTCACTGAACATCCCAACAGTGCTATCGTGGGAGCATTTTAGACATGTATGTTTTTCCTCTTTCCTGGGAAATCAAAGACAAAATCCCCACTTGCTTCAGTTGCACAAAATTTCACTCCTGCCTTTTCAAAATATCAAAAGTAACCCATTAAGTCACAGAGAGGACATTCATGATGCTGCTATGAGGTGGTATTAGTGCCAGTGCATTACCAAGGAAGCAAAGATGCAGAACTTGCCTGATGGTACTCAGCAGTCCTGGGAAAATCCCACAGCATCAGACATCTTGGGTTGTGTCTGAAGCAGCAGTGAACCCTCAGTCTGTAAAAGATCACCTCGCTCAGGAAGGACTGAGGATTACCATGCCTTTCTTACAGCCTGGCTGCTGCTCCAGGTGCAGAGCAATGCAGACAGTGTGCATGCACTCCTGAAGGCATCAGCAGCTAGTTCTGCCAGTGCGAGCTGCGGCACCCATCAGCCCTGAGCAGGCACAGTTGGACTGCTACCAACGTCCCGGTTGGCAAGTCTAAAGCTCACTGAAGTATGCCTGCCCACCACGGGTCACCGCGCGGAGTGCGGGACAACAGAAGAGTTTGATTTATTCACCTGATACGTGGGTATCACTGGGCCCACCTGGGAAAGGGATCAGCCCTCTGCAGAAGCACCATTTCTCTCACTGAAGCTCGGCGGAAAGGAAACTTGAAAGAAGCCTCATATTTGTGGTGTTTACAGGGCTATCTCCCAAGCATTTCTGCTGGGTTTGGTGACACCACTGTGTCTCCTTTGCTGCAGAAATGCAGAGGGCTTTTCTACCATACTGCCTCTCCCAGTGGTGTCGGGCAGCCCCTGTAGCTGGGTCACTGGGTGAGCAGAAGGTTACTTGTGGCTTCTGTAAACCTTTCAAGAAATTTGTTCGCCTCCCAGACAATTCTCAGACATTTCTTATTAAAAACACTGAGGTATTCAGAGATGAGGCATGCTGGTAGCCCTTGCAAAACCAGGAGGCCACAACTTTTGAATTTTGTACCTTATTTAAAAATAACAGTTTTGAGGGATCACAGCTACCACGGTTGGTAACTGCAAGTCTGTTCTGTGAAAGGCCACAGTCAACATCCTAAATTGTAATAGTTTTTATTTAACTCTTCTTTCATATCTTTCAACTCAATATTCCTGGTAATGGGAGATAATATCACTTAAAAAACCCCAGAGGCCTGACAAAAAAGCAGAGTCTGCTGGGAGCATCATCTTGTCTCAGCCAAGAAGCTTAGATCTGTGTTTTTAAAAACTTACTCAACAAGGTTCTTCAGCTTCTGATATTTATAGGCTGATTTTTTTCAGATACTGACAACTTTTCTAAGCACACTGATGATTCTATTTTAATAGATATGTGAGTATCAGCACTGCTAAGGAATATGTTCAGAGGTATCAAACGTTGAGCCATCCCGATTATGACTCCTTAAAGAAAACACTGTCTTTATGGCTCAGAGTACCCACCTAGTCCATAAATATGTTTTTCCTTAGGGATATTTGGATCTTGATTTAATTTTTAGTCCTTAGGAGAATATATAGACTTCCTATAGGAGTCCTATAGGAATGACATTTTTTCACTGCTGTATTTTGTATTGTTTGCCAGCCTGTTTCCATACAGCTTTATGAATGCTTTTTCATTTTCTCCATTATTGCTATTCCTGCAATAAGTGGTGTCATCAATAGTAATATGTAAGATGTATAAAGTGTTACAATGTGTCATGCCTTCCTGCTGTTCTTAAATAACGTTTGATTATGAAAGCTGAATTTTTAAAAATGCTGCTCCGTATTTAATATTATTGGTTTAATTTTTCCTGTCCCATACTTTATCCATTTTCTATTTCAACACCATAAAAAATTAATCATTTTTATATTAGAAAATTGGAGACATTTGGAACAGTATTTCATTTTCATTAAAAAATGTGTGGGCTTATAAAAATGTGGTGGTAAAATGTAGCTAATGGATGCAATCTGACTCTCTGGTAAGGATTTTTCTTGTATAGATTAATCTTGAAAGATTTTAGTTCTTGTCTTAACTATTTGCCAATAACAATATACTGGGTACAATATATTTGAAAAATAATTACTTTCTTCACATCATAGTATTTATTTATGCAAAACAGATTTCAATGAAACAACTTCTTGGGTCAGTGCAGAAAACTTACGGATTTTGGGAAGATACATGGTCCATCTCCCATTAGAAGAAATTCTGAAAATCGATCTCAGTGAAGTAAGTAACAAAATGTGGTTGGACATATCATCAGTCAAGTGATGTCAGCTACAAACAACATGAACACAAATGCAAAATTAAATATGAAATAGAAGTTTATATATTTTAGTTACTTAACCATAAAGTGAATCCAAATCCACTGTCAATCAAATATTCTTGCCTTCTTGGAATTTGAAAGTGCCTGTCACTAATATGTGATTATTTATCTATGTCAGACTTCTGTTACTTATACTCAGACCAACGAAAGAAGGCCCTCACATCATTTGACAGTTTGGTGGAGAACCGCTCACTCAGCTTTGCCTTCAAAAATACTGTAATATTCAAATCCGTCTTCTTCCTTTCTCTATAACATGAATGGAGTCAATTAATTTAGAGTGTCAGACATAATTTATTGGGTGTAATTGTTTTGTAATCCTGAAATATGATTTTTGTGCTGGTCAGATAAGACTGTTCATTAGCTATGACAATGCAACCAAGCAGCTGGACACCGTGTATGATATCACACCGGAGCTTGCACGAGCTTTCCTGGAAAGAATAAACTCATCAGGGTTTGATATGAGAAACACTTCAACTATCTACAGGCAAGACTGTTTTTCTTTTCTTTTATGGCTGTGTCTGGAGAGAACAAATAAGTAAGGAGAAAAGAGAGGAGCAATAAGTAGCTGATGAAATAGCATTTTCCTTCCAGCAGAAAAATCTAGGCTGGAATCCAACCCTAGTTAGCAACAGTGAAGAATTGCTACTTCATGAATTTTTGGAGGTGTGCCTAATTAGCTAATGCTTCATGTCCTGCCTTGCAGTGGGGAGCTCCCTGTGGTATTAGTCAGAGCACTACAGCAGTGTGTGGGGGATCCAAAGCTCCCTCACGTGGTGCAGTACAGTGATAAAATAAACTGGGATTGCGGGACATGAGTTGCCTTGACTCTTTGTATCACAGAAGATGGAGATGTTTTGTGGAAATCGCATTACGGTTAGGATTGAAGGAGGAAGTATTAGCTCATGCCAGCCAGGACTGCAAGTGGCTTTTAAATGGCATGGGTGTCACCAGAGGTTACAAAGTGAAGAGACATAATGGCCATCCTGCTGTCCTCTGTATGTCCGGCAGGGTAGAAATGAGCCATGCTTAAATGCATGTGTTAGGTGTGTAAGCAGGAAACTGCATTTTCTGAGCTGTCAAATCAGCCCTGAACTTACTAATAAAAACTAATAAAAAAACCCCAAATAAACTGCTCTTAATTGTAAATACTCAGTGGGCATGAGCTACCTGTGAGAAAGGGCTGTACTCCACATTCACACTGTTGTATAAGTGGATGTATTTAGTCCCAAGACACCCCTGTCTGGAGTTATTTGTCATCTCCTTGGGGGATACCTTGGAGTTTTAAACTAATGGAGAATATGCTTTATGGCTTCAGAGCTCCTGCCATTATTGCAGTGTAACCCACTGACTTCCATGAAGTATTGCTGACTGTTAGGGATGTAAGCAAAAGAATTGTGCCCCCATTCTAAATTTCAGTGTCAGAAATCTTAAAAATTGTTTTACCGCTCATGACAGGTGCCACATTCTCACAGATGGGAGAAATGTCATGCTCCATATTCCTTAATATATTCCATTTTTACAACACACATTTTATATTACTCATTTTAACCACACTGATGATTTTAATGCACTTTTAAGAAGTAATATTACTCATTGCTTGTAATCCCAAAGGAGAAGAAGAGCTCTTGGTGGCTCTGCAGTAATGCATCAGAAGGTAATTATTTGTTATCAAAATGCAGCCATAGATGTTTCTTTGTTTTGTGTGTTAGTTTGATGATGTCCCATGAATTCAGATGGGCTGCTAAAGCAGTGTTTTGTTTTATTGCTAAGCGGGTTGTTGTTGAGGGACTACAGGACCTAAAAGCTAAGCCTTTCCGTGCTGCAGAACTTTACGGAGTGTGTGGTAGTGCTGCAGTGTTGCCTCTGCTGATTTAGTTCACCTCTGGCCATTACTGCCCAGACTCTGCCTATGCATCGTCACTGCATTGCTGAAAACCAGAGACTGTAGCAAGAAAGCCGGGCATTGTACATTCCTGTCCTGGGTGAACTATGGAAGCAAAGGCTAGTTGTTTACAGTGAGAAGGGATTGTTTCAGGCTTCCTACAAATGAGTTTGTCGCCACCACTATGAACTCTCAAGTCCAGAGAGCAGTGCACGTTTCAGAGCTCCGTTGCAGGGATGCCGGTAACGGCAGCGGATGAGCACAAGGCCCGAGTCAGAAGGCCGACTACAGCAGGCACTTACCTGGGTGGTACGACTCCTCCTCCCCACCAGCTGTGGCTGTGGTTGCGCTTCACAGAGGTTACTGGGAACGCTGGCTGTACTACCACAGCACAGGTACAACGCTCTAGCTGCTGCCCTGACGCAGCAATGAGTTATGTTGCACGTGAAATCCAAGCAGGATTTAGAGTTCAAAAAATTCTGTCAATCCACATAAGAACTCAGCAAGCCACTTCTAAAGAATTTTTCAGCCCTACATCCTTTTCAAAGCAGAGATTGTACTGCAAATTCCACCAAGAGGAGCAGAGTTGTTAGCTGGGAAAATCTAGCCATGGACAAATGGAACCAGGAAAGTTACATTTTTGACAGCACAAGCAATCTGGGTAGAGTTCAGCTGAATGCAGAGAAGGGTGCATGTATCTCATACCCCAATTTCAGGCTGTGTGGAGTTTGAGAGATTACAGTTTAAAGCACTGGTGACAGACAGAAATCACTCAAGTTTTGAGCACAAGTAGGGTATACTGTATTATATTTCAGTTTTCCAAGAGTGTCACCTTTTATGTCAGAAGTTAGCTAATGTATTTTCTTACACATAGGCTGGGTTTATTGGTTTGCTTTTATGACGACATGGAGCAGATGGATGCTGCTGTGGCCCGGGCTTTACTTCATCAAATGATTAAATGCAATCAGTTGAGAGGTTTCCAGGCTGAGGTTCAGAAGGTGGGTACCATGCTCTTTCTTCTCGCCTAACCTAATCCTGAAAACAGAGGAGGAGGGACTTTCTTTGTGAATTTGGAAAGGACAGAGTGAAAAATGACTGGGATCTAAGCAAGCAGTGGAAATAGTTCTTGATTATATAATGCAAAGAATAAAAGCTGATTTTTGATTTTTTACAGGGCTCATTCCTTTCTCATTCTGTTTCCTCCCATTCCATATTCCTCTGAAAACTGTGGTTCTATTTTTGAATTTTTTATTAAGTGTGTGGTCACTAAGTGGTTGCCAGTGCCTATTCTGAAAACTCCACTTAAAGTTTTGGGTGGTAATGAAAATTGGTTCTTGGCAGATTTTTACTTCTCATCTGTTTTTTTTTTTTATTTATCTTAGCTCAAATCTCAACTTCTGAACATTGCCATGCAAAACCAAACTTTGAACGATATCCTTGGATCTTTGTCAGATGCCGTGATTGGACTCACTTCAAGTCAGCTGGAATCCTTGTCACCTGAAGCGGTGCATAATGCTATTGCAACATTAAACCAAGTTTCTGGGTGGGCAAAAAGCCAAGTTATGGTTTTATCCAGTAAATACCTCTCTTATGAAAAGGTACCTCTGACAACAGCTTTCCTGCTTTCTGTTTTTAAAAGCAAAATGGCTTTTTCTCAACGATAAATGTAGATTTTGAAAAGTTTAGTACAAGACTTCTTTTTGGTACTGTTAATGGTCTGAAAACTGTGTTTACATCAAATCAAAACATCCAAGACTGTACCTCCCAAAGTAATTCTCTAGTAACAGAGAGAATGACTATTTGCATATGGCAGTTGTATATGTTGTTCTGTGGGTATCACTGCCCTCAGCAGACTTTGCATGATCAGAGATTCCAGACTGCATGTTTAAATATACTGTAATGGAAGGAATCAGGGTCCTATCTGAAGTTTCAATAAAAGGAACCTCTGAGAAAACTGTTGCATTTGTTCCCTGGACAAATGGTTTGAATTCAAAGAAATCTGAGGAAAGTCCATTCCCAGGCAAGGAATGTATTAAGTATTCAACAATAATACTTTTGATTTCTTATTATCTGTTGCTTTTAAATAGCTCTGCTGTTCACAAGCCAGAAAACTTTCTGTTTGTTTGTGCTGTTATCTCTGCAGGTTTTATCATCTTATAATGTTAGTCAAATGGGCGCATTGGTAACTGGTATTAGCACCCAGTCGTTCTACAGCATGAACCCAAAGGAGCTTTCTCAGATTATTCGAGGCACAACATCGCAATACTTACCCGATTTATCACCTGCGCAACAGCAAGGGATCCTCAGGAAGGTGATTATAAACTTGAGTGTGTAGCAGGTTCTCTCTGTACAAGAGCACAATAACCAGATATGCAGAGGATGATTTAAATGTGTGTTTTAGTTCAATGGTTAATATTTCCAGTGTTGTTTTTCTGAACACCAGGTATAATTTGAAGGCTGTCTCTTGCTTAGTGTGGTGGCATTTTTAGTATTGACATGTTTTTTCTTTATCTTCTTAAGAGAAATATTACACAGAATAGAAAGAAGGGCAAATCCTGCAAATCTAAGCAGCGATTCTGAAATGCCATGTATTTATCTCTTCCTTGGTTTAGATAGCTGCATCTGGAGATTTTTCTTCATCAGTCAAAGATATACAAGGAGCTTTCTTTAAAGAAATAGCTCTTTCTGATTTATGGAAGCAGACTGGATATAATTCTTCAATGATGAAAGAAAAAGAACTAAGAATAAGCCAGGTAAAAATTATTATGCAGTTCCCATTCCACTGCAATTTACTATGATGGCAGAATCGGAAAAGTGTTGTGATATATACATATATGTTCATATATAGACATATAGATGAAAGGAATTGCCCCAAGTATATCTTTACATAAACAACCAGAGGTGACCTTGAGCCTAGGCAGCATTAAGAGAGAATGGTACCGCAAGGGAAGCATTAATATGCTGACTTCAAGATTGTGCCGCATAAATTTTCTCTTTCCAGTACTGTACACTGGACATTTGCATGTACAATCAGCCCTTTGGCTTTGTCCAGAGAGATGCAAGGTTGGACCAGGTGATCTCCAGAAGTCCCTTTAAACCTGAATTATTCTGTGGTTATGTGCCAGGAACATGTTTAACATCATCCCACAGCGCCAGTCAGTGTTGTCTTGTGAAGAAGGAATTCAGCACTGGATGCCAAACCTTTTGGTTGGCCAAACTGACCCCTAGAAATAAATACCTTTAGAGGACGTAAGAGAGCTAAGTGTACAAAACCCTTGCAGTAGTTATTGCATCTTGCAACTGAATTGCATAAGCTTAACTTCAGATATGGTGGGTTTTATTTCAGGCTTTGTATCTGTATGAATTACTGTCTCAGAAAAACTATCCTGTTGACCTTCTAAGGTATGTACAATAGTCTCTCTTGAAATGCAGTGTAAGTCTAGTTTTGTGACAAGAGCGGCTTGGAGGTAAACTTAAATACTATGTAGTTATTTTGTACTAACTTAATGTTCATTAATTCCTTGGTACCACATGATAATTCACCTTTCTCATTAAAAAGGGTCTCCAAATCCAAAAAGATTAAAGCATTGCAGAGATTTTTGTATTTTAAGGCTCAGTGAATATTTTTCAATTTTATAACATTTTTGCTTTCAATAGCTTTTCAGTTACAAGAAACGGGAAAGCGAGGTAGTTAAGAAACTGCATCTTAGGACGTGGTTGTGGGGAGTAGGGATCCTGCTTAAATATTCAAAAGATTGAACTTTGCTTTTCCTGTCAGGACAGGACAGCTTGTGAAAGGAGTAACTTGTCAACTCATTGAAAGTATGGGCACAGACATTTTTTTAAACAACTTTAAATTCTTTGAAAACAATCTTCATCTGCTTTCTCCGTATCAGGTAAAACCAAAAAAAGACTTTGTGTACATGAACATGCTACCCAAAATCCAAGCTGTAGGTAAATTACAATTTGGTTAATTCTATTTTCATTCTTTTTAAATTCTTGTATGCGTGAACTTGTCTGTTAACACGTTTCATTTAAATCTTTTATGTGTGAATAACTAATCTTAAAAACCCAAAGAAAAATGCTTTCTGAAGATAATATGCCTAGTTTTATACATATTAATTTATAACCTGTAATAAACAAGCCATTTTTTCATTCTTCCTGAAAATTTCCAAATTTCTAAGATATTAAATTTTTGTTGCTTTTAGGTTAATTGTTTGGCTTGGAAGTTTTGGAAAGTCTCCAATATATCTATTCCTCCCTTCCTCTTGTTGGTGCTCCCGTAAGTTACATCCTACTACATCTTAAGTTACTGCATTCTTAGTGGTACATTCTGAGTAGTCCTTCAGCGGCCTTTTATAATAACCTCTTTGGTCCTCAGAACACTGATGATTCAAACAAATGGCAATTTATAAAAAGTGGTCACTGACTGTAGCCAGAATCTGTCAAGTGAAAGTTGGTAATACCCGATGTCTTTTAGTATAGCCCATTTTTGCCACAACAGTGGGTTCCTCTGCATCCTTGAAACCAGTCCCCGCTGAAGCGCGCTGTGCACAGGCTGAATCACAGTATGGTGGTGTGGCAGCAGTGAAGAAGTTTGTAATGCTGCTGCTGATGCAGTTGCTGATGTCTCCTGAAATAAAGGGGTTAATTCATTGGGCTTGCTGGAGCATAATTGTTTAGAATCACAAAAATAACTTAAATGTAGTTTATGCTGGATTTTTTTTTTTAGTTTCCCCTAGGTTGTGAGACGTGGTTTGCTTATTTGTCTGGGGTTTTTGAGAGTGGATATGTAAGGCAAGGGCATGGTGTACTGCCCAAGCATATTGCTTCCTCTGGTTGAAGACATTTCAGTGTATTTAAAGACATTTTTGTGAGTTAGCAAAATGTCTATGCATTATGTAATATGCAAAGTAATATTCCATTATGTAAATAGCGAAGTAATAGCCAGTGACAGGTTTTTTCCTCAAGAAAAAAAAACAAACACATAGCTTGATAGGAACTCCTGAATCGTACAATTTGATAATTCCCATTTTGCATTATTTCTTTCTTCCCACATTCTTAAAAGCATGAAAGGGAATGAGAACTGTTTTTTTCCTGGAATTTTTTTTAATTGAAAAGAAGTAAGGAAAGAAAATGATTCTGTTTGAAAAAGCATTATTCTATTTAAAAAAAAATCAAACAAACCAACAACAAAACCCCCAAACCCAAAACCAAAACCAAACCCACAAAAACAAACCACAGAAAGACTTCAATGCAAGGCTTTCTACAAACTGCAGCACCAAGTTGTTTGGCAACAATTGCATGTTTCTTGTTCAGGGCCGTCAGAAGTCACTGGTGCTCTTGCCTACAGACCCTGCTAAGGCTGGGCTTGCACAGCTTTGGGATATGGCACTGTTTGCAAAGGCTGCCTGCCATTCTGGGTGGAAGGGATCATCATTTTGTTTCATTTGGCAGGCCTTCTTGAATTTTGATAAAAAGAAAGCCTACTCTGAAATTATTTCTTGTCCTTAAGCCACCCAACACATTTGCATTCATCAGAGACTTATTCCTTATAAAAAGGAGAAAGAGGAAATGTTTCTGAAATGTATATAGTCTTGTTGCATATGATGTTAAATCATCTCAGCATTTCCATCCACTTGCAGCTATTTATAACCCCTAGCCATTTTTTGAAGTGAGGTTCATGTGCTGATGAACTGGAAGAAAATGTAAGTTAAAGTGTGGATTAATTACAACTTGACATAGTGGAATCGAGCGCACCCTCAGCAAGTTTGCAGAGGATACCAAGCTCAGTGGTGTGGTTGGCACGCCTGAGG